TGAGCAATCCTATAGTTTACTATGGATCCCTGGTGTGGCGCTGTGGGTTAATGTTCCAGACTGCAAAGCAGTTTGAACTGCAAGGTCAGCAGTTCAAGCTCACCAGCTACTCCTTGGAAACCCTATACAGGGTTGCAATGGGCCAGAATCGACTTGATGGCACTTAACAACAACAACAATAGTTTACTATGTTGGCAAACAGAAGTGGAATGGCATTGCATACATTGTCAAAAAGAACATTTAAATATCTACGTTGAAGTACAAAGCTGTTGGGGTTAGGATTATATCCATATGCCTATGAGGAGGACCATTTAATACCACTATTATTTAAATTTATGTGCAAATCACTAAATCCAGTAATAATGAAATGAATGAATTTTATAAATTATTAGGTCTGAAATAGATGAAATATGCAATCAAGATATCTTAATAGTTGCTAGTGACTGGAATGAGAAGATTGGGAACAAAGATGAAGGATCAGTAGTTGGAAACATGGCCTTAGTGATAGAAAAGATGCTAGAGACCATAGAATAGAATTTTGCAAGGCTTATTCATTGCAAATACTTTTTTAAAAACAAACATAAAATGCAGCTACACACATGGACCTCACCAGATGGAATACACAGAAAGCAAATTAGCTATATCTGTAGGAAGAGATGGTGGAAAGGATAACTATTACCAGCCAAAACACAGCAAGGGGCAGACTATGGAATAGACCATCAGTTGTTCATATGCAAGTTCAAGAGGAAGCTGAAGAAAATGAAAATAAGCCTAAATATAATCTTGAATATATCTCATCTAAATCTAAAGATCACCTCAAGAACAGATTTGGTGTATTAGACACTAACTATCAAAGACCAGAAGAGTTGAGATATATCATCAAGAATATTGTACATGATGAAAGTAGAAAGTCATTAAAAATACAGGAAAGAAAGAAAAGACCAAATAGGTGTCAGAAGAGACTCTGAAACTTGCTCTTACCATCGAGAAGCTAAAGCAAAGGGAAGAAAGGTAAATTTCAAAGGGCAACTTGAGAAGAAAAAGTCAAGTATTATAATAAAATATGCAAGACCTGGAGTTGGAAAACCAAAAGGGGAGAACATGCTCAGCTGAAAAAACTGAAGAACAATTTGAGCCTCGACATGAAATATTGGATTCTATGGGCAAAATATTGAATGATGAAGAAAGTATCAAAAGAAGATGGGAAGTATACAAGGAGTCATTGTACAAGAAATGATTAGTGTTCACCTATTTCAATGGTAGCATATGACGAAGAACTAATTGTACTGAAGGAAGAAGTCCAAGCTGTACTGAGGGTATTGACAAAAAACAAAGCTCCAGAACTGATAGATTCCCAAGAGATTTTCAACAAACTGATGCAGCATAAAGATGCTCTCTCATCTATGCCAAAAACTTTGGAAGATAGATACCTGGCCAACTGATTTGGAAGAAATCCATATTCCATCCTGACTAGAGGTGACCCAACAGACTGCAGAAATCATAGAATAATATCATTAATATCACATGCAAGTCAAATTTTGCTGAAGATAATTATAAAAACAACAAGAAAACTCACAAAAAACAGTTGTTACAGTACATAGACTGGCAAGTGCCCCCAAATTCAAGCCAGATTCAGAAGAGGACATGGAATGAGAGATAGAATTGCTGACATCAAATGGAACTGATTGAAACCAGAGAATACCAGAAAGATGTTTTCTTGTGTTTTATTGAAAATACAAAAGCATTTGACTGTGTAGATTATGACAAAATATAGATAGCATTGTGAAGAATGGGCATTCCAGAACAGTTAATTGTGCTCATGAGGAAACTGCACATAGACTTAGAAGCAGTTATAACAGAGCAAGGGGATATTTAGTGATTTAATATCTGGTAAGGTGTGTGCCAGGGTTGTATCCTTTTACCATATTTATTCAGTCTGCATGCTAAGCAAATAATCTGAAATATATATATAATATTTTATAATTTTTAAAATTATATAACAATTAATTTGCATCAGGATTGGAGGAAGACTCATTAGCAACCTTCTACTTGCAGATGATACAAACTTGCTTGCTGAAAGTGAAGAGGATTTGAAATATCTGCTGATGAAGATCAAAGACTTTCAGTCTTCAGTATGGATTTCACCTCAGTGTGAAGAAAACAAAAATCCCCACCAATGGACCAATAAATAACATCATGATAAATAGACAAAAGATTCAAGTTGTCAAATACTTCATTTTGCTATAGCTCCTCAATCAACACTCATGGAAGCAGTCAAGAAATCAAATAACTTATTGTATTAGGCTAATCTGCTGCACAAGACCTTTTAAAAATGTTCAAAAGCAAATATATCAGTTTGAAAATTAGGACGCACCTGACCCAAGCCATGGTATTTTCATTTGCCTCCTTTGCATGTGAAAGTTGGACAATGAATACAGAAGGCCACAGAAGAATTGATGCTTTTAAGTCATGATGTTGGAAAGAAATATTAAAATTACCATGGACTGCCAGAAAAACAAATAAATCTGTCTTGGAAAAAGTGCAACCAGAATGTTCCTTAGAAGTTTGGAAGGTGAGGTTTCATCTCTCTTACTTTGGACATGTTATCAGGAGGGATCTGTCCCTTCAGAGGGACTTAATGTTTGGTTAAGTTGAGGGTTAGCATAGAAAGATGAAGGTCCCCCAGTGAGATATATTAACACAGTGGCAGCAGAAACAGGCTCAGATGGAACTACTGTTGTGAGGATGGCATAGGACTGGGCACTGTTTAGTTCTGCTCTGCATAGAATTGCTATCCGTCAGGACCTACTGGACAGTACCTAACAACAACAATAGAACAATATTCTTCTGAATTGGTTTGAATTTCTGGCAGCACCTTATTGATGTGCTACTGAAAATGTTTTTTGTATTTTCTTCAGTACAATTTTATTTGCATGAGATATTAATGATACTGTTAGATGATTTCCACATTCTGTTGGGCCACCTCACACCGGAATAGGCACAAATATGGATCTCTTACAATTGAATGGCAAGGTAGCTAACTTCCAAATTTCTTGATATAAATGAATGAATGTCTCCAGCACTTTATCAGTTTGTTGAAACATTTAATTTGCATTCTACCAAGGCCTGGAGCTTTCTCTTTGCCAGTGCGTTCTGTGCCGTGAAAAGATTACAGCCTAGAAAACCCCAAGGTGTGTTTTACTCTATCTTTTGAGATCATCATGAGTCATACTTAATGATATCTAATAACAACAATATACTTATTTTTATCATTTAATTTTAATCTTACTAAATCAGTTCATTTGCAAAGTGTTTTCAAATATAGGGTAGTGCTATGGTTTGACTGTTCCAATTGGGGAAACTTTTTTTTTTTCTTAATATATGAGTTATGACCTATTTTCATTTACTGATTGAACTGATAAGTTTCCTCTTAGTTTTGTCTTAATATTCTATTTTCATGGTTTTAAAAAAGTCACTAAGCAATAAAAAAAAAAAATTATGTACTTGTGATACATGTTGTTGTTAAGTGCCATTGAGTCGGTTCTGACTCATAGCAACCCTGTATAGGACTTCCAAGGAGTGGTTGGTGAGCTTGAACTGTCAATCTTGTGGTTCAAACCGACCTGGCAGTCCAGTGCATTAATCCGCAGCACCACACTAAAATTTTTGTTCTAGTGATTACCTTTATTTAGTATATTTATGACACTTAATTTTTACAGTAATTTTTTTCTTAAGACAGCTGCAGTGGTTGTGGTTGTGTGCAGTGGAGTGTGTTACTTCTTTTGCTTTCAGTTTTGTAGCTCTGCTGAGCAACTGTCAAAATTTATTTCTTAGTCTGGATCTTGCCAGCTCGCCTCTGTCTGACCTTCAGTTCATGGGACTTAAAGTGGCAGCCTACTTCTGACTTGGTTTGCCAGCTTCTGGGGTCTTGTGAGTCAACAGTTTGATCTGATGTGAATGAGGAGAATCCTCCAGACAGATGTCTGAACTACAGATTTGGGATTGGCAAGACTTGATAATCACATGAACCATTTCCTCGACAGCTCATGAATTCTATGAGATGCTGTGTTGAATTTAGGAGCCCTGGATTGTGAAGGAGAAGACTGGGAGGAAGAGTGGTGGTTGATAGCAGGGATGATGGATTGTTATAGCATTTTGGAAAAGTTGGACATTTAGGATATCCTTAACCTCCACCTCATATGGACCAGATTCATGGTGATCCTTCTAAAAGAAACAATTCATACAACAACCAAAGATAAAATTAGTGTGTACCATAATCCTCACACTACTGTAGGTTAGCACATAATTATTTTCATTGGTGTGATCTTTTTTTTTTAGTACTTCCATAACATGGAATTAAATAGCCTTAGATTTTCCTTTGTTACTTGATCTGTTGATTTCAGTGATATCCTTGGACAACCAGGTTTTAGACATGTGGTGATTGGAGAAATCCCTCTACTTTTTGTCTTCTTTCTGTCTTTTCCTTTTCAGCTTAGTCACAAGCAAATATCTACAATAATTTTGTAATTAAAACCCAGGAATTATATATTAAAATATAGGAAAATGTATATTATGTTAAAGCTTTCAACAGAAACTTTGAAAAAGAATTTAATACAAGTGTTTATTCCTAAAAAGGTCTTAGCCCTCTCCATTGTGCCCTTTCATATCATTAAAATGTATGTGTAAAATCTGGGTACCCTACTTTAGCTAAATAATCTGAGATCTGCCACAGCAAGTAGCTAAGACATCAAGTTTTGAGACCCTGTCAAGCAGACCCTGGTACTTCAAGTTCCCTTTTAAATTAAAATATCAAATTGGAAGTCGTGGTGTGAAGTAACGATTGAAAACTTGGGCTTGCAATTGTGTGTAATTACCAATGAAGTCAAATCATGCTTATTCTCTTAAATCTGATGATTGTTCTCCATTGATAATATTCTGTTCCATTATCCATAGAACTATTTGTATTTCTAAATCTATCTTCTCTGTATCTGAAAATATACTTTTCTATATTAGTAACTATACACACTTGTATGCAGTGATGGTGTATAGATACTTAATTTGTTTTTTGGGGGAACTACTGGAAGTATTATAAGACACTTAAGTTACATAAGTACTTGGGGAGTTGAGAGACTCACATCAGTAGGGTGTTAAAGAATACACACTTAAAATCCAACAACTTTCTGGTTAGTGTTTTGGTTGGTTCTACTATCTATAATAATGTGACAGCTTCAGAAGGCTTTCTCATCAAGTATTATCCACACTAAGATGCCCAAGAGGAAGGTCAGCTTGGTATTCAGAACAGTGAGGGAGGAGCCCAAGAGGATAGTAGCATGATTGTCAGCTAAACCTGCTTTTGTAAAAGTGAAAATAAACCAAAAGATGCAGTTGTTGTTGTTGTTAAGTGCCGTCGAGTCGGTTCCGACCCATAGCGACCCTGTACAGGGTTTCCGAGGGTGTAAATCCTTACGGGAGTAGAAAGCCTCATCTTTCTCCCAAAAGATGCAGTAAGAAAGGATAAATCTTCAGACAAAAAAGTACAAACAAAAGGGAAAAGGGGAGCAAAGGGGAAACAGATTGAAACACCTAACCAAAAAACTAAAGGTTTACCGGCAAAACACAGAGAAGCTAAAAACAAGTAGTCCAGCCTCTGATGAAGCAGTACAGAAACAAGCTAAGTCTAATTAATGTATCTACTTTCTTGTAAAATCCAGGAAAAACATTTTATCAACTGTTTTATAAATGGAAGGTTTCTAGTAGTTCTTGAAACATTTATTTGTTGTTATTGTTAATTGCCATCGAGATGGTTCAGATTCATAGTGACATTGTATAAATTTTCTGAGGAGTGGCTGGTGAGCTTGAACTGCCGTCCTTGCAGTTCAAATGATCTTGCAGGCCAGCACATTAACCCAGGGTACCACATAAGAAGGTGAAGCTCCCATTTTTAAGTGCAAATGTTTATTTTTAAGAGGGGAAATAATTTGCTGGTTGTTTATTTTTTGGTACAATCAGAAAATAGTGCCATGTTGAATTGTGGGAGGTTCTAATTGTCTTGGGTATCAAAATAATATTTCATGCGGGGGTGGAGGGGAGAGAGTGAGGGTGGTTTTTAACCCATAACACAGTACAAAACTTAAAAGCAAAACAAAACAAAAACACTTCACTGCCATCAAGTTGATTCTGACTCAAAACATACTTAAAGGCAATGTGGAGTCTCATTTTATTTTCATGTTATTTTTAAATAGAATTGTTTTAAGAGCCTCACCATGGCTCTTCCTGTTATAACCGTGTCAGTTCTATAATGTCTTTGGTCATGGTAGTCCAGTTTTCCTAATAACTTTGCTATGTGTTATGAAAGGTTGCAAATTTGAGGATGTTTTGTGTAAGATATAAAATTATGAATTAGTGGAACTTAAGGAGTTCTGGTGTAGTGCTGTAAGATAAGCACTGTGTTGTTAACTGAAAGGTCTGTGGTTTAAACCTACCAGTGGTTCCTCAGAAACCCTATACAGCCTCACTATGAGAGGGAACCAACTAGACGACACTTAACAACAATAATGAAAATGAAGATATTTTTACTTGATATCTTCTTAAGAAAACTTTGCCTCCAAATTTAAAACTGGAAAGTCACTGGAATTTAGAAAAGAATTATGCTTACATGACTTTTTAGTCTTTTGGTGTGAACATTTAGAATTGTACACAAATTACCTGGAATGTCCATGAACTAACCCTTAAAACAACCAGTTAAATACCAATTATGGGGGAACAAACAAAAAACTGTATGTATAATATATATATAAATTGTTATTGTTAAGTTCTGTGGAGTTGGTTCCCACTCACAGCAGGCTTATATAGGGCTTCAGAGAGGCTGGACTTTGTGGCTTACAGTCCAGTGCTTATTGAATGGGGCCACCATGCTCCCCTATATAGAGAGAGTGTCCTGATGTGCTCTGTAGGATAAGCACTGGACTGCTAACCACAAAGTTAGTGGTTCAAACCCACCACCTGCTCCTTGGAAACTCTTCCCTATGAGTCAGAACTGACTGGAAGACTGGTCCATCTGGTTCCTACTCATAGCGACCCTATACCTAAATAGGTATATATCTGTGTATATCTATTTATATCTCAACCCCTAGGCTACCAGAGCTCCTTATAGCTACTAGGGTCTCTGGTAGCATAGTGGTTATGAATCGGGCTGCCAACCTCAAGGTCAGCAATTCGAAACTACCAGCTGTTCCACGGGAGAAAGATGAGGCTTTCTGTTCCCATAAAGATTTACAGCCTCGGAAACTCTGTACAGGGTCACTAGGAGTCGGAATTGACTCCACGGCACACAGCAACCACCAACCACCACCATATCTATATCTAGCTATAGATATAGATAGATATATGGACCCACTGCCATAAAACCGGTTCTGACTCATAGGCGAGTTTGAGCCACCGACCTTTCAGTTCAAATGACCTTGAGTTCCAGTGCTTATCCTAAAGCACCAAACTAGGACACTCTCTCTATGTATACATACACACACACACAAATATATATATAAACAGACCTTGAGGTTCAAAGCAACCATGCAGTCCGTCTCACAGCGACCCTGTACAGGGTTTCTGAGGCTGTAAATCTTTATGGGAGCAGAAAGCTTCATCTTTCTCCCATGGAACAGCTGGTAGTTTCGAATTTCTGACCATGAGATTAACAGCCCGATTCGTAACCACTATGATATCATGGTATTTTCAATAACCTCACATGCATGAGAAACCTGGACAGTAAATAAGGAAGACCGTAGAAAAATTGATGTATTTACGTTATGATGTTGAAGGAGAATATTGAAAGTGCTATGGGCTGCCAAAGAACCAATAGATCTGTTCTGGAAGAAGTGCAGCCAGAATGCTCCTTGGAAGCCAAGATGGCCAAACTTCATCTCTCATACTTTGGACTATTTTCAGGAGGGAGCAGTCGCTGGAGAAGGATATCATGTTTGGTGAGGTGGAGGGTCAGAGAAAAAGAGGAAGACCCCCAACGAGATGGATTGGCCAAGTGGCAGCATCAATGGACTCAAGCATGGCGACAGTAGTGAGGTTAGTCCAGGATTGGGCAGTTTTTCATTCTGCTGTGCATAAGGTCGCTATGGGTCGGTACTGACTCGATGGCATCTAACAACAAGAAC